ACGGCGGTCGACTGCGTGGAAGTCAAGAGACATAGCCATTACGCTAACTGCTGGTTCCCCATGCCCAAAATCTTGAGAAGAGAATGGAGAATAAGAGATTGTAGCGTGGCCATCCCCCCAGGGTGAATTTTTGCTTTCTGTCTCTCTGTCTCTTCAGCAAGTGCACACACCCTATAACAACAACAACAAAAAAAAAACTCTCAAAAAAAAAAAAGATATATATACCTGGACCATAAGAATATAGTTAGGGTTAGGGCCAGCAGATGGCTTAGTGGTTAAGGCACTGGACTCCCACATGTTCGAGTCCCATATCTGACAACTTGAAACTGACTGCAGGTGCATGTGTGTTCATGCCCAGAATCCTAGGAAAAAATGGAGAAGGGATGCAGTGTCAGCCATCCCCTTGGTGGGGATGATTTCTCACTGTCTCTCTGTCTGTCTCTCTGGTGAGCACATGTACCCAATGGCAAAAACCCTTAAAAAGAAAAAAAAAAGAATATAGTTAGAGTATAGATCCTAAATGGCTAAGATGGATACGCAGCGGCTCAGCTGCTTGCTCACAAGAGATGGTTTGCAACTGGCTTTGTGATTAACCTAGGCAGCATGCCTTAAAACAAAGGCTTTTGGGAACCAGCAGTTAGCGTAATGGCTATGTCGCTGGACTCCCACGTAGTCAACCGTGGTTCGCGTCCCGGACCCGGTGGCTTAAAACTCACGCCGGGCGCGTGTGCGTGCGTGCCCAAGATCCCGAGAGGAGAATGGAGGAGAAGGGATTGCGGCGTGACCATCCCCCCTGGGGGGGGGTGATTTCTCGCTTTCTGTCTCTATGTCTCTCTCTGTCTGTCTGGCGAGCGCACGCGCCCTATAGCGAAAAAACCTCTCCAAAAAAAAAAAAAAGGCTTTTTTCCAGGCCCCACCACATTCTGGGAAGAAAGGAAGATCATGCTTTTTATGGTCCAAAGCTTTTAGACAAAGAATCTCCTGACCTTGTAATCCAAAATTAAGAGAAATAACTGGACCAATCCAGCATGTGCCCCCCATCACAAGGGAAACCACATGCACAAGCCCCACCTGAAAACAAGCCCAAAGCCTCTCTGACCCAGATACACACACACACACACACACACACACACACACACACACACACATGGCCCCAGTTCCTCCTCAGTGACCTACTTTCCGGGGACCTGCTTGGGAGCTCTGTTCTTCCCATTCTTGATAAGCTCTCTTGCTATCCCCTCTCTGTGTCCTGGCTCTAATTCTTTGTGAGCATGAGACAAGAACCCATGTCCTGCTGGGCCTGATGACCCCTGCACTACTGCATCCCTGCGTCAGTACTTTAATTCCATTTTCTAACAAGCTGAAGTATCTTTGTATGTATTGAACCAACACACAAACTGCTAGTAGTCATAAGTACTAAACAGACCTTTCTATATTTTCTTAGGTATTTTTAAAAGCAAAATAGATGATGTCTATACGTGCATTCCTTGCTTAACAACCAAATTCCATTCTTATGACTAGGTCACTAAGCAAATTGGTCAATAAGGAGGACCTTTAAGGCAGATGTCTGTGGTGTGAGAATAGAATAGAATAGAATCGTTAGAATAGTGTAATTCCATCCATACAGTAAGGCATACATTATCTAAGCCCCAGAAAGCTACAAGACACAACACAATTACGTAAATCTGGCATAGTCGTTTTTATTTATTCCGAATACTACTGTGGGTACACTCTGAAGTACAAATGTATAAACAGAATATATAGTCTTGGGTGACTGGGAACACATCATGTAGTAAATACTGGTCTCAGGTACAAGGCAAAGACAGAGAAATGATTCCCCATGCTGGGGAACTGGTTGGAAGTCGAGCTGTCATTAAACAGGTGAGCCGTTAGGTGAGGAGTGGCCGTTTCTACCATAGTGTGTCTTTAGCAAAGTAGCAGCAACAAAAAGTAAAATCTGAAGTCATTGATAGGCAGGTAAAAAGTTTGAGAAGATTCAGGAGGTGTGAAGCAATTCTCCTATGGTCCATGATTTTTGTTGACATTTAGCTATTTAGAAATTATTTTCGGAGAAACTAAATTTGAACATTATTAGACTCTAATAGAAAAGGTCCTTTGATATTCTGTATCTCCTTCAGTTTAATTTCTTTAAAAACTCATTTTTTAGGGCCAGTCAGTGGCAAGGTGGTTAAGACAGCTGAATCCCATTGCCCGACTGCATGGTTTGAGACCTGAACCAGCAACTTAAGAAAATAATGGGTGTGTGTTCGTGTGTGCCCAAAATTCCGAGAGGAGAAATGGAGAAGGGACTGTGACATGGCCATCCCTCCCAGCCCCGGAGGGGTGCTTTCTTTCTTTATCTCTGTCTTCTGGCAAGTGTACATACCCTATAGTAAGATTTACACATACACAAATACACACACACACATATATCCCTTTAGAATTAGGAACATTTTGTGAGGAATAACTTCTTTGATATAAGATCTACTGCTATTCCCAGTGTTTCAATTATGTTTTGTTTGTGTGTGTGTGTGTGTCTTTGCAAATATCAGTAAGTGTCCAAAAATCTTCTGACTAAAGATTTGGGCAGGCAGCCAAGTGGCAAAATGGTTAAGGTGGCTGGATCCTACATGGCTGACTACCTAGTTTAATTCCCAGACTTGGCAGCTTAAAAAACAAGCCGGGCGCATGTACATGTATACCCCAAATCCAAGGGCAGAATGGAAGGGAAGGAACTGTCGTGTGGTCATCTCCCCTGGGGAAGTGATTTCTCACCGCCCCTGGCAAGCACACATACTTTATGGCTAGAGCATCACACAAGGCAGTGTCTGTTTCCCCAATCAGCATGCAGGCTGATTCTGGTGATATTGTTACGGTTGTTAAGTCACAATTTCTCTCATCCATTTAATCAACATATACTTTTATTATTAGTGTTCTGGCCACCTCCACCTCTGTTCAGATGCCACAGCACATTGCTTTTGGGAAAGGTGCTAAGAGTGCCACCATTTCCCTCAATTTAACCATGATTACAGTTAACACTTAGCCCTTAAAAGCCTTCACTTCTTGGGGCCAGCAGGTGGCATGGTGGTTAAAATGCCTGGACTCCCACAGTTTGAGCGGCCACACAGTTTGAGTCCTGGACCCAGTGTCTTGAACATCATGCTGGGTGTGTGTGGGTGCATGCCCAAAATTCCAAGAGGAGACTGGAGAACCTCTGTCTCTTTCTCTGGCAAGTGCATGTGCCCTGTGACAAAAACCTTAAAAAAAGAAAAAAAAAATACTTTTCTCTGTTCTGTTGGAGTTGACAAAATTGGTCATGTCTAAAAGGGAAAGGAGACGAAAAATCCTACGTGTTGGCCAAGTCAAGTGGCTGGGGTTTTCTCTCACCAACTGTTTCATTTGTGTGTTTAGCCATTCTTCACTAGAGACCCAAATTGTACTACTTTTATTAATCGTAAGAAAGCATGTAAATAGAAAGTCTTACACAATAGACAGACTTACAAAGTATGTATCCAACCTCTAGGTGGAGATGGATTTGACAAGATGACTGGTCGATTCTGTCAGTCAGTCCCCCGTAAGGTCTTTCCCTTTGGAAGTCTGTCTCCATCTAGTTTGTGCATAGTGCTTGAAGCTGTGGTGGCCCTAGTGCACCACACGGCTTCTGTGAGTCCACACACCAGCCGGCATGACAGGTGGAGAGAACCCAGTTCTTCAAGGATATTGCTAAATCTTTGCATTGACTCTGATGTTTGCAGGCTTGGAATTCATGAATTTAATAAACCTCTTTAAGATATTTTCAGTCATATTTTAAAACATGGCCTACATCTTCAGATATATAGTTGTAAATGCTGGTGTTTCCTTCTTTCTTGATCTTCTTTTTCTCTCTTATACGAGACTCTTTTCCATACGTAGTCTTACTCCCTTGGGTTGAAATATTATCTACTGTTGGGGCCAGCAGGTGGTATGGTGGTTAAGGCACTGGACTCCCACTTGGTCAACCACAGTTCAAGTCTCAGACCTGCCAGCTTGAAAATCATGCTGGGTGTGAATGCATGCATGCCCAAAATCCCAGGGGGAGAATGGAGAAGGGATTGCAGTGTGACCATCCTCTTGGGGTGATTTCTCACTTTCCCTCTCCCTGTCTCTCTTTGTCTCTCTTTGGTGAGTGCACATGGTCTATGGCAAAACCTAAAAATAAGTAAATAAATTAATTAAAAAATATATATTATCTACTCTGTAGACTCCTAAATCTGTCCCTAGTCCAGACTCTTTTTTTTTTTCTGATATCCCAAGAAATATAAGAAACTCTCTAAATAGACATTACCACTTGGATGTGTTTCTAACACTTCGCATCTCCACAACTCAGTTCAAGATCTGCTCAAGACTTGCTCCCCTGAACCTTTACCCTCCAGACTTTCCCATCTCAATAAATGGCCCCATCATCTTCTCGATGGTTCCAGCTGGAAACCCAGGAATCATCACTGTCTCCTCCTTCCTCACCAGAACATCTGGACAATCACCCAGTCCTGGTGGCTCTCTCCATCCCCACTGCTGCTCCCTCTGAAAGGGTCTCTATTAGACTTTATCCACTGTCCAGACTCCTCACTGGCTTCCCTGCCTCCCGTCTTGCTCATTGTTACTCTAGCTGCAATCAGAATTATCGTTCTGACCTACAGATCTAGTCAGATCCCATCTCTGATTAGTAGTAACCCCTGCTATAAACTCCACAGCATCTGGGGAGTCTGTCTAAGCAGTAAGATTCACTGTGCTTTGATTAAATGTTTATTGTCTGTTTTCCCATCAGTCTCTAAGTTCTATTAAGTATGAGAATTGAGATATATTCCCACACCTAAAAATAGTGTCTGGCATGCAGTTGACAATAAACATGGAGTTGAATGAATTGATGGATTTACAGTATTTTGTGAACTGTGAATTGTGACCCATCAGTGGATCATGAAATCAATCGAGTGGGTTATAATAGCTTTAATTTAAAGAAAAAGAATAGAATAGCAAGCAATATGGATATTATTTCATGAGACTTTATTTTAAATTGTGTAAAATCTATTTCTATAATGAATCATAGGAAACTAAAACTGAAAGCCAAAGGGCTATAATCAAGTTCTATTTTCTTTTTCTTTCTCTCTTTTCCAGAGGGATGTGTGCTTGCTAGAGAGAGAGAATGGGGGAAATAGAGAAAGCATCCTCTCACACACAAAGGGGAACTGTCACACTGCAATCCCCTCTCTTCCATTTGTCCCTCCTATCTGGATTTGGGGTACACAAGCACATATGCCCCATGTTTCAAACCACCAGGTCTAGGACTTGAACCATGTAATTGACCATATGGGACCCAGCCACATTAACCACCACACCATGACTGACCCTCAAGTACCATTTTCTATAGTAAGAAAAGACAGCTTTATTTGTGGTGGGGGGGGGGAGGTGGAGTGGGACTAAACCCTTGTAACTAGAAAAGACTCCTGTCCTGAGATATTTGCCCTTTTACATATTTCAAAACTTAAATTCAAAGAAGAAGGTGCCTAGTTTAGAGTTTTAGGTTTCTGCGAGCAGGTGACAGGGATTTAAGATCCATTACAGGTTCTGCCTGGCAGCTACTGGCATAGGACAATTAAGCCTAGGAGTGCTGTTTAATTCCATTCCCTCTGAAAATATATCTGAAGCTTGTTTTGCCTCACAGCTGATGATGAAAGTGGAAACCCAGTGTTAGGAGAGTGAATTCATGGCCGTTGAGGGTGATCACTGACTGGAGTCTTGGAGAATTTAACCGCCTGTTTCTCCAGCCTTCTTTTCTGTAAGAACAGAGCACCTCCAGCCAATGACATGCTGCCATTCTGTTTCCATAGCAATCACAGAAACAAACCTTTACCAGCTAGCTACCAAGGACAAACCTCACAACTCAGGCCCAAGTCAAGGGGATCTGAATGGAGAGGTGACTTTCTTCTTAGTTTGACCTTCATTGCAACACCAAGAGATACCCACCGGATGGTCTTTAGAAAGGAAACTCATGTTCCTGCCAGTTCACCCTTTGTAAAAGCCTTTTTTTAATTCGGTGGACATCGTGTCCTTCTGTACTACATATTCTGTGGATTTTCTGCTTTGGTATTTTATTCCACTTGGAATGACTGCTAAAGTCAAGTTTTGGAGCCTCTGGATTTGACCTAAAATGAGCTCTGATTTTGTGTTGATGGGGAACAGTTTCTCTGTAACCTTGTGGTTTCTTTAACACTCTCTCCTTGAAAAGGAACCACATGGGGAAAACAAATCTTTGGGCAGTCCAAGGTAAGCTCTTTAGAAAAGATGTTTCATGTAATTTTTTCAGCTGGTTATTAATACTAGCTAGTGACCTCTCTGAAGGCTCTGCTGTCTTACTGGTGACTACAGTGTCACCAACTGGCACTTGCAGCCCTCTGGGCCTCCAGTTAAATCATTAGAGATAAATACAAGAAAGGGAAAGAAGAGGGAGAAAGAAGCCTTAAACATACACAACCTCTGTATTTTTGGAGCCATACAATGTGACATCAGGCCACTGCAATCCAGAAGATCTATCTGCACTGATATGGAGATATCTGCTAGGTAACCTGTTACTTAAAAAGAGCAGAGCAGCTTAGAGTGCAAAGTGTGCTCTCATTCAGGTAAAAAATTTAAAGCTTGGTTGGCCCCAGAGCCTAGTGGTTAAGAGGGCCAGATCTCACATGCCTGATCACAGTTCAAATCCTAATAGTCTGAAAGGTATGCAAGGTGTGTGTGTGCATATGTGCCCCAAATCCTGACGGATGGAGAAGTGGAGAAGGGATTGCGGTGTGATCACACCCCGTTAGGGACTGCTTTTCCCTTTCCTCTCTCTCTTTCTCTCTCTGCCTCTCTCTGGCAAGTGTATGTGCTCATTGGCAATTTTTTAAAATTTATTTATTACCATCATAATCTTGTTTATATTACATTGAATCACATATAACTTTACAGTGTATTACATTTCTTTTCCCAGAAGAAATACCATGCATGTCAGTCAATACAGAGACATTAAAATCCCCACTTCATCATCCAATGTCTTTTCATTGCTTTTCCTGATCATTATTATTATTCCAATTATTTTTTTAACCAGTCAATCACTATTTCTTATTTTGCTTGTAAAAAGACTTTACCCAACATGAAATACTTCTCAGACCAATCCAGTTGAGAATACTAGACCCGTCATCAACAGGTAATAAACCGTATCTGTGTCCTTCTCCTGCATGCCTCTCTATGTGTTCTCTTGCTATCTTTCTCTATATTCTTCTCGTCTTCCCCCCATTCCACACTGTCTTTTCCTCGTTAAGTATTTTCACTGCTTTTATGTCCTCCAATATTTTGCTGTCTACTATAGAGTGTGGATAGTTGGTACATATTAAGTGGATACATACAATATCATTCATAGCCTGGCTTGCTTCACTCAGCAATAGATCCTCCATATCTGACCACCTTCTATCAAATGCCAGGGTCTTGTTATTTTTTATGGCTGAGTAGTATTCCATAGAGTATATATACCACACTTTTCCAATCCATTCATCAGTTTGTGGGCATTTAGGTTGGTTCCATGTCTTGGCGATCGTGAATAATGCTGCAATAAACATTGATGTGCAAGCACTTTTCTGACTGAGCGTTCTCCTGTCTTTCGGGTAAATACCCAGAAGTGGGACTGCTGGGTCAAATGGTAGTTCTATTTGTAGATCTTTGAGGAACCTCCATATTGTTCTCCACAGTGGCTGAACCAGTTTACATTCCCACCAACAGTGTAGGAGTGCATAAGGCACTTGAGTTCCCTGTGTATTCTGGTTATCATTCCCTTGTCTGAGGCATATTTAACAAAAATATTTTCCCATTCTGAGGGTTGTCGGTTCACACTTGATACTGTGTCCTTTGCTGTGCAGAAACTTCTTAGTCTGATATAGTCCCACTTGTCTGTTTTAGGGATTATTGCCTGTGCTTTGGAAGTCTTATTTAAGAATTAGTCTTTGCCTACTCCAATGTCTCCCAGCATTTTCCACCAGTAGTTTTATTGTTTGAGGTCTTAGGTTCAGATCTTTGATCCATTTTGAGTTGATTTTTGTTAATGGTGAAAGATGGGGGTTCAGTTTCATCTTTCTGCAGGTGGATACTCAGTTTTTCCAGCACCATTTACTAAAGAGGTTTTCCTTTTCCCAGTGGATTGACTAATATCCTTTGTCAAAAATCAGTTGGCTGGGGACCAGCAGTTAGCGTAATGGCTATGTCGCTGGACTCCCACGTAGTCGACCACGGTTTGAGTCCCGGACCCGGTGGCTTAAACTCACACCAGGCACATGTACGTGCATGCCCAAGATCCTGAGAGGAGAATGGAGGAGAAGGGATTGCGGTGTGGCCATCCTCCCTGGGGGGTGATTTCTTGCTTTCTGTCTCTCTGTCTCTCTCTGTCTGGTGAGCGCACGTGCCCTATAGCAACCCCCCCCCAAAAAAAAAATCAGTTGGCTGTAAGCTTTGGGGCTTATTTCTGGGGTTCTATTCCATTGGTCCACATGTCTGTTTTGTGCCAATACCATGCTGTTTTGATGATCACAACTTTATAGTATATCTTGGGATCAGGGAGTGATATGCCTCCTACTCCATTCTTCGTGCACAGGATTGCTTTTGCAATATGAGGTCTTTTATGATTCCTGACAAATTCTATGATTGTCTTTTCTAAATCTGTGAAGAATATTTCTGGTATTTTGATTGGAATTGCATTAAAAATGTAGATTAATTTCAGTAGAATTGCCATTTTGATTATGTTAATTCTTTCATTGGCAATTTAAAAAAATTTTTTTTAATTAAAATCTTGGGCCATTGTGGAGCCTGGGATTACATTAGCTGGATTCCACATAGCTGACTATGTGGTTCAGGTCCCAGGTCCAATGGCTTGAAAAACTCATGGGACACATGTATATTCCCAAAATCCTGAAAGGAGGGAGAAAGGATGACAAGGGATTATGGCATGACTATCCCCCATGGAGGGTGTTTTCTCTCTCTCTCTCTTCTCTGTTTCTCTCTGACTAACACATAAACTCTTTGGTGATTAAAAAAATTTTTAAATACAACTGATTTTTACTTATTTTTGTAATTTGCTATAGGGCACATGTGTTCACCAGAGAGAAGGGATGCTGGTTGGGGGCATGGAGGGATAATTCATCTTCCCAGGGGTGGTCACCCAGCAATTCCTTCTTATCCATTCTCCTGGTATGATATTCAAACCACTGGGTCAGGGACTCAAACCACCCAGTTGACCATGTGGGATCCAGCTGCCTTGAAAAACATTTTTTAATTAAAAGGTTTCTTTATATTTGCAACATTTCTGCAAGGATGCCCCCAAAAAATCTGAACAAGTTTTCTCTTGAGAGGGTAGTTGAAGTCAAAGGCTGATGTTTGGTACATACTAAAATACTAACAGACTTCCATACTGGTCAGTAAATAAGCACTCCCAAGCTTTTTGAATATCCTCCTTACTGTCTTGGTTGCTTAAACTCCTGGTACCTCCAGACCTCCTCATGATCTGGTAACTAATGCCTGTCGTAGGGTGGGAGTGAAGTCCTCCAGGACTCCATTCCAGCTCTGTAGTCCATGTCTATTCTGATGTTCAATAGCCTAGTCTTGATGGTTGTTAATATTTTATGTATTGCCCCATTGAGTGTTCAGAAGGAGAGTAAGTCTTTAGTCTTTACTTTCTAAAGCAAAAGAATGTATACTGAGGCAGTTTATAATAGAGGAAAAAAGGAACTAACCAAATATTCATACAAAACTGATCAAAAATATAAGTGGGGGGGGAGGGCAGCAGGTGGCATAGTAGTTAAGACACCAGACTCCCACGTGGTAGACCATGATTCAAGCCCCGGACCCAGTGGCTTGCAACTCACTCTGAGTACATGTGCATTCATACGCAAAATCCCAGGAGGAGAGTTGAGAAGGCATTGTGGCATGGCCATCTCCCCTGGGGGGTGATTTCTCACTTTCTGTCTCTCTGTTTCTTTTTGTCTCTCTGGCAAGCGAAAATCTCTCAAAAATAAATAAGTAAACATATATGAACTATATATATATATATAGAGAGAGAGAGAGAAAGAGAGAGAGGAGCATTCATGGGATAGAAATGTACACAATCATGATATGGAAACGAATCTCAGATTCATTTTAAAGATTTGCTTTAAATTTGCTTTAAAATACTCTGGTGTGGGGGAGGGAGGGGGATACAGATAAATAAGATTGGCCATGAATTGCTAATTGTCGAAGGCAGGTGACAGACCAGTTCATTACACTCTTTACTTTGATACATTGTCAAAATTTTTCTCCATTGTAAAAATTTAAGTTTAAAAACTGATAATTGAGGAGCCAGACAGTGGTGCACACTCTGCAAGGCCACCGATATGGGAGGCTTCCATGTGCGTGTCCTGAGACCTCCCTGAGGACGTGAGACACGCGAGGCACACGTGCCCATGATCCAAGACTGGTAAAGCCGGGGATGGGATCACGGTGTCAAGACCAAATGGAAGGTGCCATCTCTCTCCCTTTCTTTCTGTCTCTCTTACTTGTAGAAGAAATAAACTTTAAAAATATAATGGTATCTATCTATTGTTATTGGCATTAAAAGGAGCTCACTGCATTGTCAATAAAAATAATTCAAGGAGGGCTGGCAGGTGGCATCGTGGTTAGGGGCTCTTGACTCCCACATGACTGACTGTGGTTTGAGTTTCAGACATGGTGGCTTGCTTTCTCACTTTCCCTCTCTCTCTCCAGTTCTGTTGCTCTCTGGTCAAATTAAAATAAATAAATAAAGTTAATAAAATAATTCTTTTTAAAAAGTTAAATAAAAAATAATTTTAAAAATTAAAAAATCCAAGGGCCAGCAGATGGCATGCTTTTGAGCCCCAGCTCTGATGGCTTGAGAATCATACCGGGTGTGTCTGCATGCATGCCCAAACTCCCAAAAGGAGAATGGAGGAGAAGGGATTGTGGCGTGGCCATTCTCCCTGGGGATTGATTTCTCCCTTTCCTTCTCTCTGGCTCTTTCTCCGGTAAGCGCATGTGCCCCATGGCAGGTGATCAGGAATGAGAAACTAGAAGGTTCACTGGAGTTTGAGTAACAGAGATCATTTTCAAAACGTTCCGTGCAGAACCTGCTGTAGGATTCCTCTTCACCTCAGTGAGGGCCAAAGGCTGTGGTCTGATGAATGGGCAGGGGTGTAGGAGTCAGTAGTCCTGGGTCTGTTCCCAACTCTGCAGCTTGCTACCTCTGTGACCACCTTGAGTATCCTCATCTGTAAATCTGGAATAACAATAATTAGGCACTTATTGTGTACCTGGCTCACAGTAAGGGCTCAAGGATGGGAAATTTTAAATTGCCTTCAAGTCAAGTCTTCTAGGTAGAAAGGGGCTGTTGTTCTATAGTCAAGACCCATATCAGAACGGTAGCTGCTGGAATCTACCATTGTCTTTAGACCTTTCCTGGGTCCTTCATTTTTGCCTCAATTCTAAATGAGTCAACTCTCTGCTGTTGTTTTCCCATTTGAGCAAGAGCCTCCTGACCTGGCAAGCAAGACTGCCCCAACCTTGAGCCATGTACCCTAACCCTCTCATCTACTGCACCTGCTGGGACCCTTGGAACTTGGGGCCACGAAAGCTGATCAAGACTCCTCGGCCACCAAACAAGACTTCCCCAAGAAGATCCAAGTAAGGACGACCTGGGACAGGGCAGCAAGGAGCTTGGGCTCCACTTGTATCCTTCTTTCCCCACAAGATTTCCGAAACAGAAAGCTCTGTCCCAAGTGGGCCAGAGAGCATAGTTCTGCCCAGTTCCCCTGCCAGCCTGTTGGCTGCCCACTGATCTGGCCAGTCCCACGTGGACTTGGTGTCATGTTCAGTGAGAAGTTCTCAGCATTGGTATCACAGAAAAGTGCAGCTTCGGGAACCAGCAGTTAGCATAATGGCTATGTCGCTGGACTCCCACGTAGTCGACCGCGGTTTGCGTCCCGGACCCGGTGGCTTAGAACTCACGCCGGGCGCATGTGCGTGCGTGCCCAAGATCCCGGGAGGAGAATGGAGGAGAAGGGATTGCGGTGTGACCATCCCCTCTGGGGGGGTGATTTCTCGCTTTCTGTCTCTATGTCTCTCTCTCTCTGTCTGGCGAGCACACACGCCCTATAGCGTAAAAAACCTCTCCCCCCCAAAAAAAAAGAAAAAAGAAAAGTGCAGCTTCCATCCATGGACAAAGAGCTTTGGGAACAGAGGAAGCTAGCTGTGCTCCTGACCTGGGGACTCCGTGGGACAGGGGACAAGTGCCAAGGTGTTGTGTCTGAGCGTATCCAAGACCATCCAGAATTTAAAGATCCCAGTTGTCAGACCATATATTCCAATTTGGGGTCACCATCTGGTTATCCCTTAATCTGGGAGTGTAAGAACAGGTTTCTGAATTTTCAATTTTCTCTTTTTAGTTATCTATTTTTCATTTCCAGGCTAACTCCTCTTCTACCAGTTTCAAAAGACTACAATTACCTCCAATCAACCACAAAACCTGTTGTCACCCCAAAGTAAGTATCTTTATATCTGTAAGGCAGGAATAATGCTTTGAGGCATGAGAATAAACAATCTTCTCCCTCTCCCTTGACCTTCGCAGCCCTGTCTGACTTGAACTAATTACTGTTTGGGACCTCACAGAATTATCAGAATCCAT